TTTCCCAAGAAGGTCCTCCCTCACAGTTTCAGAGCTATCCCTGCACAGAAAGGGCAGGGCTGCAGGCATCCTGGTGTAGCAACATCACTTGGCTGAGGTTACACATGGTGAGCCAAGAGGAGAAGACCAGTCCCTCTACCGAGAGCACCACAGGCATGGAAACCTGGATGGATGGGGTGATCCACACGTTTTTAGTGCAGAGAGTGCCGCCTGAACAGCAGACTTAATCAGTTTGTGTGTTATGTTGTATGTTACGCAATAAGTTGGGAGAGAGGCAGGAAGGCACTTCTGTCTTATGAAATAGCCATGATAAAAACCAGCTATGAGAGAAACAGGAAAGTTACTGACTGTGTTGTGAAAAGCTGACTATGCCTGTGGTAATCGTCTCCAGTGTTTCTCAGGCTTGGGGCATCCCCATTACAGACAAAGGGGAAGTTTGCTAGTACATCTGTTTAGGGAGTCTTCCCTTTATGGCAAGAACACTGTGTGGGCTTTCTGGATATTCCTGCAAAGGAGCTGAGGTCTCTAGGGCAAAGGAATAGCAAACAGAGATGACTGATGAAGAGCATGGTGGCAAGCAGGTCATCACTGCAGAGTAAACGGTGGGAACCCGTTAACCAGTAGCCTAAATAAGGATAAGTGGAGGCACACCTGGGTTTGAGAAACAAAGAGGACAACAAGCTGTGAACAAGCAGTTGCTGTTCATACCCTCGCAGCCCTTCACTGAGAAGTGATGCCCTTCACTGAGAAGACTCACACTATCATCCAGTGATTTTGGAGAAAGCGTTTCTCTTTGGCTTTTTGATAATTCTCTTGCTTCCTTTCTCTTTTATTTTTTTTTTCCTCCTCTATAATAAAGTAGTGTTTGATTAAACCTCTTTCATTGCTTGTCGTGAAAAAGCAGAGCTTGTTAAGTACTGGCATGGAATAACTCCATTTTCCCAGTTTGACCTCTACAAGTCGAAACCAGTGCTGCTGCCAGGCGAAGGGTCACAAAGGCAAATTCCGATTAAAAAACATAAGATTCTTCTGTGCCAGACACAAAGCCTTTGAAATATGAAGGGACTGGCAACACCACATAAGCATGTGTAGTAATATAAACATTGCTCTAATACCAAGTCTTCAGATCACACTCCAAGTCTACACATAAGAGGGGGCAGAAAAATGTGAAATCAAATGGTTTGCGAAAATTTCCATTGGTTGGTGCTGCATTAACTGCAGATGATGTAAATGTAGTAAACCAGGCAGAAGAAATAAGCAAGCCCTCTGCAACCTCAAAATTATAGAGAGATACTGTCACACTGACTGAAAAGAGGAAAGCACATGACTAAGTTTTTCTTCCAAAATTGTAATAGAAGATTTTGCTGTTTAGTAAATATTTCTTCTCTGTTCCCATTCTTGAGTAAAGACATCTGTAGTCGAGATGTACGAGACTTCTGCTTTTTGCTGAAGCCTTTGGGTAATATGGTATTTTCCTGCACAATTATTTAGTTTCCACTTGTTTCTTTCTCTGGTTTGTATTCCTGCTCTGAACTTGGACGCGAGGGACAAATATCCAGATAATTATACGCAAAAGCTCTGCACCATCTCCCCAAAGAATCAAAAAAAGGCTCAAAGAAGCATATCTAACTAAAAAAAAAAATCAAGCCTAGCTAAGGGAAATCCAACCTACAGATCTACAGGTGTAAACTATAGGCCCAACAATGAGCGCAAAAGCAGCCTAATTACTGCATGTTGCGCTGAGAATAACCCATTGCTTCATGTGGAAGTGGGAGGAGATGGATTTATTTCTGTGCATCTGTTGGTAAAAGTCAGCACCAGATCTAGGCATAAATTCAGTAGTGCTCCTACCCCTAAAACAACTCCCTGAGTTTATCCAGAGGTCAGTTTGTATTGATCTTTATACATAGACTTCATATACTGCAATTCTGTCTCTATAATAAAGTTTTGTGTGCGCTAATGTTCTGAGATGGGGAAGGATGCTGCACCCACTGTTGGTAAATGTGAAAAACATGACTAGAAAGCGGAAGTGTTGCCATCCAGGCGATTTCAAATGCTTAAACAAAGAAAATATCTGAGAAAAACCAAAATGCTGAGCAGGCTAAATAGTGTAAAAGATGTTTAGCCTCAAATTAACAGAAGAGTTAACTGTGTATCATCTGGGGTTTTTATTTTTGAGGCAGGAATTGTCCTTACCTGAGCCTGTCATGATGACACCCTGAGGTTGCCAGATCTCTGTGAACAGTTAAATAACATCCTCTGGAGAATAAAACACATTGCACACCTCGAAGTGGTAAAACTTAATTGTGTCATAACTGCGTAGAAATGCAAATACGGGCAATTCAAGTGGCAATTTTAAAGTTAGTTATTTACCAGTGTATCCCAAAGTTGTAGGTTAACAGTTTCACATGTGATATGTGATTTTGGGGTGCTTTAGTTTTGAAATAATACAAATTACTCTGAACATCAGGTGTCTATGATACCTTAAACATAGCACCTAAAAGCTGAGGCTAATCATTCTGGTGATGTAAGCTGGAAGTTAAAAAAAAACATGACTGCCTGTGCAAAAATATTTTAAAAATCAGAAGAAAGGAGGAACCAAAAAAGTTACAAAACAGATTCCTTCCAAATGAAAAGAAGGACAATAGAAATTATATTTAACAGACCATCTGACATGTAGAAATACAGTTGTATGAAACAGTTGTTGGCTTCTACAAAGAAGACAGGGCTGAGAACCTGTCTTTCTTAGAAAAACAGAAGCAGAATAGATGCTCTAAAGCTGCTACAAAAATAAATGCAGAATAAACTATTAATAAGATACTGGTTTAAAACATTTTCCACCCCATCTGTCCCAGGAAACTGGACCCATTAGTGGTTGTTCAGGCACAAAAGTGAACAGTTCCTTGTAAATCTTTATGCTTGAGTATTGAGTGCTCAATATGTTAAGAGCTACTGGAGAAAAAGTGGACATCTAATTTAGCCTTATTATAAGCTAACGTGGAAAGATGCCAGGCTAGTCTGGAGGAGTCATAAAACCACAGCATGCGTTGGGATCAAATGCCTGATGGTGGCCTGGGTATTTTTTAAGTGGCGGGTAGGTCGGCATCCCATCTGGCTTAGATTAGCACTGCTCCACTGACCCAAGTGGGGCTGCAGCAAAGCGCAGCACCTGAAGACCCGAATCTGTGTAAAGAGATTGGAAATTTTCAATGAAAGGACTCAATCGCCAGCTCCTCAGGGGCACGCTGTGCTCACAGACCTGCATCCTGCTCCATGATGGTTGGTGTGCCAGGGAGCTGCAGGAGTGGGCTGCTCCTTGTGGGCTGATAGGGCCACGCTGCCACCAACGAGGGTGCAGCCTCGCAGCACTTGCACAAAGCGAGCAAGGCAGAGATGGTGGCAGTGACTGGAGACAGCCATGGCTTAGCTGGCATCCTCACGCAGGTCTTTTCCCAGGAGCTGATCTGAGGCTGGCAGCACCTAGAACTGGTCGGGGGCCACCGGCAATCAGAATCCTCAGTGCAGGGAGAAGACTGCAGAGCTTGTTGGGGTCCTTGGGGACAACAGTTAGTGGATACTAACAATAACAGGCTAAAACTTCTCGAATTAAGATTAAATTCTTCCAGGATGCTTTTTTTTATTTATATGATCAGAAGCATATAGCAGCTACTGGTGTAAATTGTTTCAGCGCCTTCTGAGGGGCAACCACATTCCCCTCTGCTCTTACCAGCCAAAAGGTTTAGCACCAAGAGTCTCTGTAGAAGAATCAAGGTGGAGTAGAGGGCTTGTATCCTCCTAAATTGTCCGTTCATCATGCTTACGTTGGATGTCCTGACCTGCAAGAAAGCTTGTGAACAATTTGCCAATGTCTATTCCTGCTATTAGCCCTTGCTGAGCACTTATAGCAGCATTTTTTGCTCTGCTCTACTTGGTCTCCCTATTTATTGATTAGTTTCCTTCTAAGTGAAAACACAAGTAGCATATTTTCGGTAGATGGTTCTGTTTAAGTTTCCCCATTGGGACCGCCAAGAACAATTGCCAAGAACTTATTTTTAACTAGGCTTAAAACATGAATTTATTGCTATAGTTACTAGGTTTAAGAAGGGAGTCCTCTCTTCTTTTCCTTGCCCATTGAGTAACCAACATAAAACTTCCAAGATTCTCAGTGCTCCTAAGTTTGTGTTTCATAATTAATAATGACATAAAGCAGTCTCCAACATTTGCAAGAAATCTTCTGCCTTCCAAAAATCATCTTGACAAAGGTTAATTAAAACATTTGGCAGAGTTAAGCATACATAAAACACACTTGGTTAAATACACATATGGATACAACACAAAGGATGGAATACAGAGTTACACAGTACCCAGGGCCCGAACATGCTTAAACAAGATGCTTTAACAAGATGCTGTTAACATGCTTAGGCTGAACCTCTAGTGCAGACCTCCTGTCAGCGCTGCTTTGCTACCACACAGTGTGATCAGCAAGGTTGCAAGCAGCAGTTTACTTTCCAGCCAGCTCTGATCTTGCTGGTTTGGCCACAGCTTTCTCTCCCAGCCATAAGGCTGATACCGGCTTTCCCTGAGCTTTTGACAAGGTGAGGATAATAAAACACACACGTGATGGCAAGCTGAGTGGGATTACTAGAAGCCTCAAAAGAGATGCGGATGAAAGCTGTATGTGGATAATTCGATAGGCATTTGAAGAAGAAATCAGGGCGAGATTTTTACTAACAATATGGCAGTGATTGCTCCTCCAGATTTCATTAGTGTGGGCCCTCATTCAAACTTTCCTTCTGCAAACGCTGCAGGAGGCTTCCTGCCAGTGCTCCCTCACCTTGTGCCATCTGTGGACTTTGCCCACGGGGAAGCCAGCCTGGACCACACCAGAATTCTCATGGAGGTCCGAGGCAGTGCGAGCAGCTGCGGCTGGGCTTGCTGGCACTGTTGCTGGCATTCCAGCAGTGCTGGCTCCGTGCTGCCTGGTGGCATGTGACAGCACCATGGGGGTGAATGGGAAGGGTTTGGTACCGCAGGGGAGAGGAAAGAAGTTGAGCTGACCTGGGGGAGACTTGGGTGAGAACAAAGTAACCTGCAGGGGGGAAAAGGCTGACTTTATACAACCCTTTTCAATGCCCTGAGCTCCTTGTTCCTTTTCCTTTTACCTTTGCCCACGCACAAATGAGAATGACTTCCCGGGATCCTAGAAGTTGCACACCTGTAGCAAAACTTTGCCTCTTGGGTAGTTTGCTTGTGCACTGTGAAAGCTTAATCTGAAAACAGGAGTCCTGACTAAGCAGGTATGGATTTGCTTGCAAGACTCTTTTTGTGCCTGCAAAGCACTGTCAGCATATTTCTGTTTTGAATGAATTGCTTTTCTAATCCCTTATTGTTTTATGACAGCTGAAATTACCTGACTGGATGCCAACGCATATGAACTACTAAATGGTTCTTACATCTTATTTTATGGTCCATCCTCTGTTTTAAAATAAACTGCCTATTAAACACAATCAAGTTTCCTTGTGTTTTTGATGACATATATATGTGGATTTTGAGAAAGGGAAGTGGGCATGGGAGGAAACTCAGAAATTGCAAAAGGAAAAATGTTGGGGTTATTTTTTCTTCTTTCTGTAATACACGCAACAATAGAGCCACTGCAACTCCCTTCCTCTCCTGCCTGGGTTTATCTGGACTTGTCTGCATGTGTCTCTAGTCAAGCTCGTTTATACAAAGCTCCAGGGTATCACTGTGGACGACGGACCATGTCACATCCCCTCTTCTTCATGTGCTTTTCACATTCCCATCTCAGGGCCACATCCAAATGGGACAGCTGGGGCAGGAGGGATGCTCTCTGGAGGCCCAGGGGCTTTGCCACCAGCTGGTGAGCCCATGGAAATCACCTCTTGGTCTTGCACTGTACCTCAAGCCCTGCATCCCTCCTGTGCCTGCAGCTCCCCGCAGCTCCTGGTGCACTGCTCCCATGGTTGTGTGCACACAGGCTGAGGACGCGCTGTTTCAGGAAATGATTTCTAAAGGTGACAAATGTTAGCTTCTGCATTCGGCATTACATGTCTGTGGCTTCCAGCAATGTTTTGTTAAAAGTAATCGCCCTTTGTTGTCAAACTTTGCTGTCAAATTGGATCTTAGCTCTTACCACACAGAGATAATTTTTCTTGTGTATGTCCTTACTTGAGTGCTTGCTGCTGTGTTTGTATGGCTGATGCGAGGTCACACAGTGGTACAGAATAATTTGCTTTCAATGCCCAGGTCAGGGCGTCAAATTTATCTCATCGAAACTGTCTGAGTGCACAAAGCCGGGTCCGGAGCAGGGCGCTCCGCACTGAACACCAGGCACACACAGCCTGCACCCCTTGCCGCCAAGTGCCTTGGCCTCTTGTCTCGGGTCCTAATTCCTTACCCCTTTCACGTGTGATCGGCTGGGACACTCCTTCCTCTCCTTCTGCCCCGCATCTGCTGACCTCCCACAGAAGGGAGGAGGTCTCTTTTAGTATCCTTGTGCTGAAATGGTAATAAATAAACAAACAAACAATGCCTTTTGGCAGAAGGATTAAAAAGAAGCCGGGGGGGCTCAAAAAGTGTTTCTGACGATACCCAGTAAGCGCAATGATGGAGTCTCACAGCTGTTTTGCAATGTAGCCAGTGCAGAAGATGGCACCGGCCCGCTGGCTGGAAGCAGGGGCTCGGGACGGGGTCTGGCGCAGCCTCGGGACTTCCCCGTCTCCAAAGTTCTCTCTTTGAGGATTAAAACGAGGGGCTGCGTTATCACAGGCCGGGAGAGGCCTTCGGCCCTCCACCTTTCCCCTTCTGCCAGACCTGTCCCTCTTCCCATTGCTTCTACCTCACAGATTTTGATGAGGCTGGGCCGGGGTGGGGGTGGGGGGCAGTATTTCCATGTTGTTTTAAGAAAAAAGGTGAATGTTTCTGAAAGGTTTAATTAACCCCCCTTGTTCAGCTGTTTGAGCCATTTAAATATAAAAATACTTTCCCCACAGGTTCTCTCAGCTAAGCAGCTGAGCCCGTCTAACCCCACAGACGCCCAGCTGCTCCCCAGGGCTGCCTCAGGCCTGAAGCAGGTAGGCAGACAGGCCCCGGCCTGTGTTCTTCTTCCATGATTCCTGGTTTAAAGTCGCGGTACTCTTCCAACGGCGGTCTGGCAACAGCTGTGATTTTGCTTTTTGCCTCTGGGGTGGAGGTCACGTCGGGCAGCGGAATAAAAAAAAAGAAGGGAGAAAAAAATATGTACCTCCCCGTCGGGGAATCGAACCCCGGTCTCCCGCGTGACAGGCGGGGATACTTACCACTATACTAACGAGGAACTGTACACGAATTGTTCTCCGGCCAACCCTCACATGGTTTCTGCATGCTGACAGCCCGGCGGCGCGCCGGCTC